GGGGGCTCAGGCATGATATTCAACTCAACATGACTCGGGAGTTGGAGTCAGGTATTTTGTTTCAACAGGTGGTAGGGATCGCTCGTCGGTTAGAGGGCATGTGGGACCGAGAATGGAGGACATGCGAGATCAGGAGAGAGAGTGCGGGGAGGTGAGGAGGCCTCGTAGACCAGAGAGATCTGTTGGTTCTTATTTTGGAGGCAAGGTGCGGCATGGTAGAGGTTTCGTGGGTCAGCCAGTTCAATTTGTGCTTCAAACTTCGCACTATAATTCAGGTGTTCATGGGTCTTAAAGTACCTATACCGCACAATTCCTATAGCCACATCAGCATCGAGGTTACTTTGAGTATGGAGATACTAGCCATATGGTGATATATTGTCCCAAACTTCTGACAAATGCGTCACAATGAGGTATTCATGCGAGTAGAGGGCGCCCAAGAGGGTGAGGCACGTCCTGTTGCTGTGTTTCATATAGTAGGCTTAAGACCGCTATGCCAGATGATGTCATTCAGGTATTATTTTGGTTCGTTATATAGGAGGACCAGCCGTAGTTCATTACAGTTCTACCTATCGGGGTGAGTTCCCCTATTTGTTGCTCCACTTATGGGTGTGTTTCATGATTTGCACTCTATTTATGTGTTACCATGTTGGGAGGTTCTATGAGTGATAGTCGTGTCTATCGTTATTTCTAATCATTGTTGAGAGTTATGAGACTAGTAATACATTTCTGTTATCCATTTCGGTAGACTTGATGTGATTTATGAGTATTTTTTGCTACGAGCTATGATTTTTTTTATACTCCACTAGTGTGGGAGCTAGCACTTGTTGTAAATTATGATGTAGTTGATCTAGTGAGAGTTTCCAACTGGTTTGATGTGTATCCTACTTGTGATTCAGAATTAAGGGTGAGACCCTCGTAATTTCATGTGATTTGACGTGTTGAGACGGGGTACATGCCGTGGTGGATAATTATATCAGGATGAGATTCTTGAGATTTGTTCATATATTTTGACTTTTCCTTGTGTTGATTTGTAGAATTTTTACTGATAGAGAGTTTTGCCTGTCGGGCTTGTTTGGTAGTTCTCTTGTGTGTTTCTCTTTACATATCCAGTCATTTTCATTTTGTGCTTCTTAAATTTTAGCTTTGTGGGGTGTGTACCAAGTGGTGTTAGTTGTGGCTTGTTGATTTGGTTGTTAGTTATGAGGTTTTCGTGGTTCTTGAATCATCGTCAGTGTTGTGAAGGTTTGAAACAGGTTCCTATTGAATATAAAGCTTATGGTCGGTGCTGGAATTTGATTTCGGGCGGATATTATGATTAAAACTCTTATTGTGGGCCTATGTGTGATATGTCATGTTGTGTGGTTGTACTCTATTAGGTGTAGGAATGGGTTGATACAGCTGGTTGAGACTGATACCGAATATCATTTTCAAATCGGGTCTTTTGGAAGTGAATAGAAGATAAGAATTTATGCTATAAGGCATATCGATGTTGGTAGAAAGGCAAAATTATAGTCGAGGTGGTGTCGTCAGGTTTATGTGGATTGGTGCGACGTAGTATCACCCGCGGGTGTATATTAGAAGTGTGGATTCAGCGAATCATGGCACGTTCGAGGACGAACGTTGTTTTAAGAGGGGGAGGATGTAACGACCCGGCCGGTCGTTTTGAGAAATTAAGCTCCATTCGGTGATGAAATGTCTTGAATAGCTTCATATTATGTTTATCGACTTGCTTGCAGGGTTGAATTCAGTTACGGGATGATTCAGAGTCGAATTGGGAGCAGGAATCTAGTTTTGGACGCTTAAGCGGTGAGAATTTAACTGGAATTGACTTTTGAGTAAACGGCCCCAAAATGGGTTTTGGATGGTCTCAACAGCTTCGTATGGTGATTTTGGACTTAGGCGCGCATTCGTATTTGGATTTGGAAGTCCGTATAGTAAGTTGAGGCAAAATAGTAAAAGTTGGAAAAGTTGAAGTTTGGAAAATGGAGAAGTTCGACCCATGGTTGACTATTGTGATATTGGGGTCGGAATGCGATTTTGAGAGTTGTAGTAGCTCTGTATGTCATTTTGGACTTGTCTGCAAAGTTTGGTGTCATTCTGGGTTGATTTGATAGGTTTCGGCGCGAGTTCTAGAAGTTGGAAGATTTGAAAGTTCATAAGCTCGATTCATGGTGTGATTTACATTTTCGGTATTATTTGATGTGATTTGTGACCTCGAGCGAGTCCGTGTTAGGTTATAGAACTTGTTTGTGTGCTTAGACGGGGTCCTGCAGGCCTCAGGTGTGATTCAGACGAGCTTCGGATGTTTTGCATGGTTTTGAGCATGTCTGATTTCTGGTGTTTTCGCACCTGTGACCTTGGAGCGCAGGTGTGGCTCTGCTTTTGCATGAGCTTGGCCGCTTCTGCGGTCATGATTGCTTGGGAGCTTCTGCGGAGGCTGGCACACAGATGCGAAGGCCACTTCTGCAGTCCAACTATCGCACCTGCGGAGAAATCTCTCTCCTGCGATTACCTTTTCGCTTTTGCAGTGTCGCTGATACGGCTATATATCCGCAGATGCAGTCCCTGGCTGGGTAAACTGAGTTCACATGTGCGGACTCTCTCTCGCAAATGCGGTCCCGCATATGCGATTTCTTGACCGCAGATGCGGAAGTCCTGGCATAATCATATAAGTCAAGGGTTTGGCCATTTCTTCATATTTTGAGTTTTAAACTACGGATTTGGGAGCTTCTTTTGGGGTTTTTAAAGCAAATCGATTGGGTAAATGTTCTTCACCTAGAATCTAACATATTTGATGAATTTCATCATTTAATTTGTGTTTTGAGTTGAGAAAAATGTTGGTTTTTGAAGAATATTTTCAAAATAAAAATTCATGATTTGAGGGACGAAATAGTATCGGAATTTGATAATTTTTGTATGGTTGAACTCATATGGGAACAGGTATTCGGATTTTGTAAAATTTGTCGGGTTCCGAGGTATGAGTCCCAGGGTCAACTTTTGGACCGGCTTTTAGATTTTGTTAAAGACTAAGACTCTATGATCCAAAATAATTTCTTATGTGATTTATTTGTGCTTTGAAGTTAATTTGATTAGTTTTGAGCCGTCCGGAGGTCTTTTCACTCGAGAAGTGCATTGTAGAGTTTCAGTTTGTCGTCTTTGAGGTAAGTATATTTCCTAACCTTATGTCGGGGACTTCCCCTTAGGATTTGAGTCTTCTATGTTGATTGTAGTTCGTGTACGCGAGGTGATGAGTGCGTACTCAGAATTATTTGTGGGAAATTGGACTTTAGGGTTCTTAGGTCCTAATATTCACTATGCATGAAGTTATTTTTGATTTGACTGAGTTTTCTATTACTAGTTTCCCCTCTACATGCTTAATTGGAATTAATTGCTTCATGAATCATTCTTATTGCCTAATTGAGTTGTATTTGATTTAAATGAAGAATTTCGCCTCTCCAATTGTCATGCTATCCTTTCATGGCTGCTTGTCTTATTGAGAATGTATCATTACCCCTCCTGAAATTGTTTAGTCTTAAGTGAAAGCTAAGATAATCTTTCCATAATTGAATTATCGAATATCCTCATAATTGTCCAACCTTAAAAGGAGTTAGATAACTTATATCTTTGTTGACTTGCCTTTATTTGGGACTACTTGACTCGTGTTGATTTTCCTTATTATTGACTTGTATATTGTGGGATCGTTGCTACATGTTAGTTTTCCCTTTGTTGAACTGTTCCCTTTATGCCAACATTCTTTTCTGTGGTTATTCCTGTGAGCTGGTTCTACCGTTTCTTCGTGATTTACAGTTCTTGAGTTGATTTAATTGTCGTACCTTGTATTATTGTCATTGTTGTTGTTGTACGTGTTGTGGTGATGTACGGGTTTTCTGCGGTGCTGTAATTGTTATCTCTTTGGTTGCGCTGCATATTTACTTTGGGACTACGGAATGGTATTCCGGGAGATCCCCCTGCACATTTACATTTGGTACTACGGGACGGTATCCCGAGAGATCCCCTGTTTTGCATATTTACTTTGGGACTACGGAACGGTATTCCGGGAGATCCTCCTGAACATTTATATTTGGGACTATGGGATGGTATCCCGGGAGATCTCATGTCTTGCATATTTACTTTGGGACGAAGGAACGGTATTCCGGGAGACTCCCCTGCTCTGAACATTTACTTCGGGACTACGGAATGGTATTCCGAGAGATCCCCCTGCACATTTATGTTTGGGACTACGAGACAGTATCCTGGGAGATCCGCTGTCATTATCACTGTGTTCTGAGTTGTTGCTTTCATTGGTCCTATCCCTGTGTAAACATTGTATGTGCTGTCCGTTCTTGTCCTTATTCTTACTAGCTGGTATGAACTATGTTAGGACACTTGCACGAGCATACACGTGGCTAAGCACCCTTATCGGATAGGAGTCTCCTTGATATTGCTGAGTATAGACACACACCCTTATTTATTTGCCTTCCATGTGAGAATGACTCTTTTAGGCATGTGAGTTGTTAGTATGATTATGAGTTGTGATGAGGGCACAAGATGCTAAGTGTTAGGTTTCAGGTATTAAGACCCGTATTGTATGATTATGAGATGAGGTGTCACAGCTTGACTTATATTCGAAGGATATTTATTTGAAAGGGTTATATTCGAAAGGTATTAATTTTTTGAGAATTTTGGAAAAATATTTACTTGAAGGAAATATATTTCCGAAATGTTTTTATCAACTAAAGGATTCGACTAATTGATTGAAGTTGTTGGCTATGACCTAATGTGAAAACTGTCGTACTTGCTGAGTTATGATTTGTCCTTACTATATTTGTGATTTTTAATTTGGGTTGTATTTCCATTCACTTTTATGTGCTTTATTATGGTGTTCCACTGTTACTTGTTATTTTCTTTCCTTATTGTAGTTACTGTATTGTTAGCAATGTCGCTTAGTCTTTATATAAATATCATGTTCGGTTGTTTCTATACTTATACTTGTTCTGCTTATTAGACCAGTGGGTGTCTTGGATGTCCCTCGTCACTACTCTACCGAGGTTAGTCTTGATACTTACTAGCACCGCTGTGTTGTGCTCATACTACACTTCTGCATATTTTTTGTGCAGATCAAGGTTTTGATCGTTAGTAGCTGAGCAGATTCTTGTCAAGGAGACTAAAGATAAACCTGATGCTGCGTTCGCAGGCTTCGGGGTCACCTTCATATTTCGTATTCACACAGTTGTACTTATTCCCATACAGTTGTGTTTAGAAATTGTAGCGAAACTCTGTAGAGCTTATGACTTGTACCGCCGATTTTGGGAAGATGTAAATTTCATAAAGATTTCTATGTTGAAACTGTTAGACTTTCTTTATTATGGTTGATATTCAGTAAATGTTAGGCTTACTTAGTCCCTAAGACTAGGTGCCATCACGAAACCCAACGGAGGGAAAATTGGGTCGTGACATAGGGTGACGCACATTCCAAGTGACGGGTGTGCAGGCGTGCACCGTGAGAATCGGGACCTGGTTCATCCCATGACACCGTTTAGTGACTCTTTCTTGCTGATATCTATTTTCCCATCATGTGATTAAGTAAATGAGCTAAAAATCATGCTAGATATCATGTTAGGGCTTCGCAACGATACTGTTGGGACCCCTATTGGCCATTTATTGCTATCATCTCACTAGTTTCATTAATATTCTGCACTCAGTCTTAATCATGCATTTCATATCATGTCTCAGTCTCATTTGTTATTTATTGGCACATCATATAATTGTTCCGGGCTAGTTTTCATGGCATTGTGAGCCCGTGTGTGAGACTGGAGAGTAATGACTGAGTGAGGCCGGGAGCCTGATTATGAGGATATTTATGGGATCGGGCTGCACGCCGTAACAGTTATATTGATGATTATGATAGCTTTTAGGCTGTCGGAGCCCCTCCGCATTGCACACCCCCAGTGAGCGCAGATGATATTATTGAGGGATTGATTTCCCTGGACATGGATTTGTCCGAAGTATTGATATCTGGAGATGAATTTCTCCACAGGGTTGGATTACCTTTTCCTCGGTACCGAGTGACTTATAGTCAACATTGAGTATGTTCCGGGATAGATTTCCCTGGGCCGACTGGCCATATGCGGTACCGAGTGGTAAAGTATATATATATATATACCTGGAGATGGATTTCTCCTCAAGTTTGGATTACCCTTCTTCCTCGGTACTGGTTGACTTGCAGTCAGTGTCGTATATGTTTCGGGATGGATTTCCCTGGACCGGATGGCCATATGCAGTACCGAGTGGTTGATCACTTGAGAGTGGGAGCACACAGTGAATTTCATACATTTTGTGCATTGGCATGTAGAGTTTAGCTGAGCTTTATATTTCACATTGTTCAGATCTATGTTTTATTTTACTGTTTGAGCTGTATACTTGAATTGATGGCATGCCTACTTTTCCTACACAATTTGTTTCTGTTACCTGTTGAGCTTAAGTTCGTCACTACCTATCAGTCCATAGTTTGGACTTGTTACTTACTGAGTTGTTGTACTCACGTTATCCCCTTGCACCTTGTGTTCAGATCCATGCATCTTTGGCCACGGTAGAGGTTGTTGATTTTACTTAGTAGCAGATCATCGGAGATAGCGAGGTAGCTGCCTGGCGATCACACTCCTGCTTTTCTCCTTCTTTATCTTCCCTTTAGTGTATTTTGGTTATTCTCATACTATATTAGTCTTGCTATTTTTCGAACAGTTTGTAGTAGTTGCTCATCACTCAGTGATACTCCGATGTTTGGGGCTTTATTTTCCTCATTTCAAATTTTGAGTTCAACTCGTGTTTTCTCTTATGAAATTCTGTTAAACATGATGTCTTTTGGAATAGTTTTTAATGAATTATGGTAGTATTATGAGAGTTGGCTAGCCTAGTTTATTGATAGGCACCATCACGACAGGTTTGAGTTAGGGTCGTGACATAGCAATTTAAAGGAAGATTGTGAGTAGTATAAATAGATATGTGTAGGTCGCAAGCTAAAGTATGGTAGAACGACAAGGTTTTAGGTAGATAGGAGTAAGGATAAGAAAAGGTGAGTGAGAAGATGACAAGAATAGGTAAGGCCTCAGAATTAAGCCCATCAAAACAAGAGCGTTGACGGTTCCACAAGTTATAGAAAACTCAGTATAACCTGAATGAACTCAAATGAGTTTAAAACTAGGATCATTTAGAAGAGATGGAGTGCTGCCATGGTCGTAATGTGACGGTGTAATTATGATAAATGATAAGAGGATGATGTTTAGGCCTTCTATTGAGTAATGATTCAAAGAGAATAGATTTCATGAATTGCACGGGATTAGAATACCCCCCATAAGATGAATAACATTGGGATGCTATGAAATACGGTTATTGAAGTATAGTATTGTCCCTAGATGGATCAAGCGAATAACTTCATATGTTCCCCAATGAGATGTGAGCCCTAGTGATAACATATTACGTAAGAAGTTTCAAGTTATCAGTGGTAGATTACAGATCAACATTAAGATGAATCAACAATGGATGGATAAAAGTTACAAAGTATGAGAGGAGATTAAGCCATCACTCTTAAGATGAATAGTAATAAGAAAGCATTAAAGGACATAGATTTATACATATAGGATAAGTAGTGAGAAAGTAACCTGGAGTTTGATAGTGGACCTCGATAATAATAAATCAAAGTAAGAGTTATGATATGGTATGACCTACCTAGATGTAGTAAAGCCATAAGAATAGATAACCAAGTCTATAAAACAAGATATAGCAATAGTCGTAAGTTCCACAAAGTACCAAACGAAGAACTTCAGTACACCTATAGATGCCCAAAGGGACACCTTGTCATAGTTATATATATGTTAATAAAGTGAGGCCTGGAGATTGGCTAAAAGTTGGGGGAGGGAAGAGAGAAGAGTCACATAGGCACACATACAAGGATAGAGTCGTACAGGATACATGACATAGGGTAGCAACAGTTACGAGATTGGAAGAATTTTGATCACCAGTCGTGGTATGAAAAAGAGGTTTAAAGGGGGGAATGCCCTGACATTTGGATTTATTCACTGAATAGTTGCCTATATGGCAAGGACAATATTAAAGTATTAGTAAGAGCTATAGGAATGTTCCAAAGGGGGGAATGATGTTACACCCCATGTTTTCCTATGTGAGAGTACGTTGTAAGTCAATTAATGTAAGCTCATAAATGAGATTATATTGGAAGTATATAAAGTAAGTTAATCGTGTTACCTTGGAGGTTAAAAATATTTAAGATCATGAATAACAAGTACCAAGAGGGTTTGAAGGCTTAGAAGCTAAACGAATTGATGAAAATAAGTTTCGTCGAAAGTCGACAAGTTGGGAATGTTATAACATATACTTTTGGGGTGAAACTAGGGTTCTTAACATGATAATGAGGTTATGATATGAGTTATTATAGTCTTACTATAGTTGTATGTTGAGTTTTAAAGTCAACCAAGTTGTGGAACAAAAGTTGACAATGGTCATCACAAGTTACATTCATAAATATGCTGAAACTTTGGTCAAATGTAGCAGCGCTTTTCTCTTAATATAACAAGAATTACTGGGTTATCTACCTATCAAATTGAAGGTCTATGAGTCTAAATTCCTACGCATTAAACCGTTCATCGATACAACATTGACGTAGAGATATATTTGCATTTTTGCAAGACTGTGCAAGCAGCTCCCTTTGGGACCCACCTAGGCGGTTGAGACATCTTGATATATATATATATGTGTGTGTGTGTGTGTGTGTGTTGCCTAATGCCTATTTTAACTCACTATTTTTCACTCTATTCAAACCCTAGATACCTAAAAACATTTTCTCAAAGTTCTCTCATGATCCAAGACCCAAACCAAGGGCAAACAACATAAATAAAGTATGAGAAATCCCGTGGCACTAGCGAGTTTCTTGTTCTTTGTATGGTTGCTGATTTTGGTGTGCTTCTAGCTCGTGTAGAGAGTTGGTTATAATAGTTTAAGTTCTGTAAAATACTCTCCCAAAATGTGCATGAACATATTAATAATTTTAAAGCTACCAAGAACAAGAGGCAGCTACGACCAAAATGCAGTTACGTCTTCAGTGCCATCTCCCGCCATACACAACAACATCAGTATCCAAATCTGCACGCAAGGTGCAGAAGTACAATATGAATACAACCGACCACATGTACTCAATAAGTAACAAACCTAACCTTAGATTGAAAGCATTGACGAGCTTGGACAAACAGTTAGAGTCGAAAACCAATCGCCAACAATAACTCATAACAATATAAATAAATTAGTACAAGAAACAACTCAAAGATATAATGCTCAGCTCGTTTACAGTTATGGAAAAATAGGCATGCTTTTCAAGTATAAAAATAAAACCCAAATCTTTCACCGAAGTTGCCAAAATGAGTCTATAAGAAAACTATGATTTTTCCCAAAAACTTCAACAACAGATAATATATTTCAATCTTAGATAGCATGAGGAAAGTACATCTCTATGTCTATATGTCAATGTGCATGTGAAGTTATGAACATCACAATACCGTGTAGCATGATGAAATGCATCTCTGTGCCAGTATGTCAAATATACATGTCAATGCAATGCATCACAGTGATGAACTCATGTACTCATACTCTCAGAGTACTCAATCTAACTGTCTTGGCACTCCCATTCATCATGCTAAATCCCTCATCACACTCAGCACTATACGGTACCTGGTGCGGCACGCAGCCCGATTCCATCATGAATCTGTAAAACCTGTGCTCACTGCTGGTATGTCAGACTTCGGAGGGGCGAATCCTACCCAAGCACTAATATAAGCCAACATGGCATGTTGTTGCTTGCAGCCCGATCCCATCAATAATAATAAATACTATAAAGCTTGTTCCGACGTACAACCCGATCCATATAATAATAATATATATAAAGCCAATATGTCATGCTGCAGCATACAACCCGATCGCATCATGAATCAAATAAGCCTACTGCGGCGTGCAGCCCGATACCATCAATATCATTCACACTCCATCCCTCAGGCCCAAACTCAGTCATCAATCTCTCCAATCTCTTGGGCTCAAGAATCTCATGCCAATCAACCCAAACAATGATAACATGATGTGACAACAAATTATAACAAAGATTGACATATGGTATGCAAATGGATGAATATGACTAAGTATGTAACTGCAATTTAAGCAAATAATTCAACAACAAAAATGACCTTAATGGGTCCCACCAGAATAAGCATATAGCTTAAACATAATTTCTAACATGGATCATAGCTCAATTACTTTAGCACGTAAAAATTTCATGGATAAAGACAGGATTAGGTAACTACACACTACC